TCTTTAGCGTCCCCTGGTCTCCCAGTTGTGTGCGTCACTCTTTAGCGTCCCCTGGTCTCCCAGTTGTGTGCGTCACTCTTTAGTGTCCCCTGGTCTCCAGCTGTGTGCGTCACTCTTTAGTGTCCCCTGGTCTCCAGCTGTGTGTGTCACTCTTTAGTGTCCCCTGATCTCCAGCTGTGTGCGTCACTCTTTAGTGTCCCCTGGTCTCCAGCTGTGTGCGTCACTCCTTAGTGTCCCCTGGACTCCAGCTGTGTGTGTCTCTCTTTAGTGTCCCCTGGTCTCCAGCTGTGTGCGTCACTCTTTAGTGTCCCCTGGTCTCCAGCTGTGTGCATCACTCCTTAGTGTCCCCTGGTCTCCAGCTGTGTGCATCACTCCTTAGTGTCCCCTGGTCTCCAGCTGTGTGTGTCTCTCTTTAGTGTCCCCTGGTCTCCAGCTGTGTGCGTCACTCTTTAGTGTCCCCTGGTCTCCAGCTGTGTGTGTCTCTCTTTAGTATCCCCTGGTCTCCCAGCTGTGTGCGTCACTCTTTAGTGTCCCCTGGTCTCCAGCTGTGTGTGTCTCTCTTTAGTATCCCCTGGTCTCCCAGCTGTGTGCGTCACTCTTTAGTGTCCCCTGGTCTCCAGCTGTGTGCCTCACTCTTTAGTGTCCCCTGGTCTCCAGCTGTGTGCGTCACTCCTTAGTGTCCCCTGGTCTCCAGCTGTGTGTGTGTCTCTCTTTAGTGTCCCCTGGTCTCCAGCTGTGTGCGTCACTCTTTAGTGTCCCCTGGTCTCCAGCTGTGTGCGTCACTCCTTAGTGTCCCCTGGTCTCCAGCTGTGTGTGTCTCTCTTTAGTGTCCCCTGGTCTCCAGCTGTGTGCGTCACTCCTTAGTGTCCCCTGGTCTCCAGCTGTGTGTGTCTCTCTTTAGTGTCCCCTGGTCTCCAGCTGTGTGCGTCACTCTTTAGTGTCCCCTGGTCTCCAGCTGTGTGCGTCACTCTTTAGTGTCCCCTGGTCTCCAGCTGTGTGCGTGTCCCCTGGTCTTCAAGCTGTGTGTGTCACTCTTTAGTGTCCCCTGGTAGCTGTTGTGTTTTGATTCCCCCTTTTAAGTTATTTAACTTATTAAGTTATTTATTTTTTATTTCTCTCTTCTCACTTGTAATTTTAAATCATGAAAATTCTCCTTTTCCCTTTCCGTCCCTTCTTCTCTCTCTCTGCCCTTATTGCCTCTTCCCATTGCCCTCCCTTTCTCCCTCCTCTCCCCCATTATCTCACCTCCTCCTCTGTCATTTCCTGTTTCTCTGGGCTATGGGAGAGACAGGCTGTTGTTTTCAGTTTCATCCTCCTCTCTAATTATCTCGCCTGAAGACCTGATGAGAAGTTGGCTAAATGACACACACACACACACACACACACACACACATACACATACACATACACACACACACACACACAATTACTTATTTGCACCCACTGAAGAAAATTAAATGTGTGTGTCTACAGAAAAGTAACTCAATGAAGATGTTACCGGTTATATTTTGACTTCTCTTTTATAGACGTTGGTTGTTTCCTGTCAACATTGTTTAATTACAATTCAAGTATCTCTCAAGGTAATCCGTGAATATGAATACTGAAGTCAACATCCAAAGTTTCGCCGTGTGTTTCTCAACACAAAGGACCAGAAAAGTCAGGTCATGGTTAGCCTAGCTTAGCATAAAGACTGGAGTTAGATGGAGCAGCTAGCTTGGCTCTGTCGTTAAAGCTTCCTGATTCTCAGGTTGTACTTTATATTCGTCAACATGCAGGAAATGCTTTGTGACATTAAGATTATTTTGATTGCAGTAAAACCATCTTAAGGTGTCTCTGGCTCTCGGCCTTAACCCTGACCGTGACATAAAGCACAGTTTGCTCTACTTTTGAAGCGTCCGGATCCTAGTGTTTTCTTTCTACTATTGCATTACATTCGTCTTCTTACAAGCTCAGGTTTGTTTTTTGCAGCTTATTAAAACGTGTTTATTTACCCTGGTGGTCGTGAATCCATCAGCTGTAAGGCCTCTCTGTGTTCTGCTAGGAGACGATAGTGACTAGGAGGCATCTATACAATATAAAGTGAATGGAGGGCTATAAATTGTCTCTACCATCAAAGTAAATCGGCGCTTCTCGGTGACCTGCTCCTTGGAAATAGAGTTAAAATAGAAATCCCCACCTTGATTTAAAACCTGTGAGAACTTAAAGAAGGTAAAGTGTTCCATATATAAATGACTTCCTGTCATGGTGGTAGACTCACTTCCTCATGTCAATACACCAAGCTCATTTGAGAACATTTCACGAGGGCTGGTGGAGCAATTTTGGGGAAACCCAGCCAGAAGGCTCACCATCGTTTCTGCCTCCCAGATGTTTGGATTGTCCTCGTTAATCTCATTATGGATCTGGTTAACCACATCGGCCTCTCCTTGGTGAGACTGACAGAAAGGCAGCGAGACCGCTTCCCCTAAACTGGGCCCGGGAACGGATACGAAAACAACTGGGGTCCACCTTTTATACAGTACGTGTTTGTCATTCTCCGCTCGGTGTACAGTAGTTAGCGCCAGATGACCTCAGAATAATCTCAACAACAAAAGAATCGCAAGAAACTCAGCAGCTCCATCCAAAAGAAATCTGTGAAAGTCTGGCAGAGCAGCGGGAAACATAAAGCAGCACACGTTAGGGGCTAGAATGATAGATGGACAGAAATATGATTCACCTTTAATTCCCCTTCCTCCGTCTCAGTTAGGGTCGACTGAGCGAACACTATTCAGACGTCAGCTCCTCACACAACAAATGCTCGTGTTATTCAGCCAGCGGTTATCCAGGACTCCAGGGAAACATGTTTAAATATTACAAACACAAGACTATGAGACTGTGTTTAGAAATATGACTGACCTACCCTTGGATGCTGTTATAGCGTTATATCATAATAATACAACCCTGTTATCAAATCTTAAAGCTCACAAATCCCTGATTAAATCAACATTTGCAAGAAACTACAGACTAAAATAAATCAACTTCATCTCAACATTTGCTTTTTATTAACAGCCTGATCGATCAACACCTAGGTAGGTAGGTAGGTAGGTAGGTAGGTAGGTAGGTAGGTAGGTAGGTAGGTTTTTTTATACATCAAGGAGAGTTCAGGTTATTTTCTCATAGACTTCTACACGATTTAGAATTTGTAAACAAACAGTAAATGTATGTATGCCTAAAAGTCAGGTCATGGTTAGCCTAGCTTAGCATAAAGACTGGAGTTAGATGGGAGCAGCTAGCTTGGCTCTGTCATTAAAGCTTCCTGATTCTCAGGTTGTTAGTTTATATTCGTCAACATGCAGGAAATGGTCTGTTAGTAATGAAGCTGATTCATGCGTCCCCTCACTGACCTGACATTAAGATGAGGGAAACTATCTAAAGGTGTCTTTGTTGCTTAATCCTGACCGTGAAATAAAGCAGTTTATTGTGTCATAGTTGCTGTGTGTAGATATTTTAGGATGCCTGTGAAAACACGCCTCTGTCTGGGAAGAGGGTTGGCTCTGGTCCAACAGCCAACCTCAATCCTCAAGGAGAATTCGGGGCCTTTACTCGTAGACTCCTACACAATTGCTCACCACAATAAGAGTCATCCCTTTCCCCAAAATAGACAAAGGACATTTTAAGCAGCAGGCAAGCACATGTTGGGACGCTTCTCCAAATGATTCTTTACACATTCAGACCAGTTGCATCCAGGGCATGGCTTGTCAGATGTGGACAGTATTGGAGCGGGTAAGGAGGTTATTGAGGATGCTGAAACCATTTCTCACATTTTCAAGATCGAAAAAGTCAGTTTTCACCAGAAAGTGTCTGTCCTCTCTGTGGACTGATTCTGACTGTGTTGCAACCATTGGATCCAGAGAGCACCTGATGAGCCTTATTACCTCTACAGTGGACAATTCATATTAAAATAAATAAGCAACTATCCAATCCAGATGATCCCTAAATCTTCCAAATCGACCCAAATGAATCTGAATCATTCCACAGAGAGAACAGATATGGACTCAGTACTCTGATAGAGTCAGGAGTCTGATGAAGATTGATTGTTATTTGGAAAATAGTTGTCAGGTAATAATGCTCATCTAGGGCTCTCTATATCCAATGGTTGCAACACTATGCTCATGGCAGTCAGCATCACTGCAGAGAGAACAGAAAAGGCCTCTTTCTGGTTCAAACTGACATTTTGGATCCTGGAAATGTCAGAAATGGATTCAGCATCCTCAACTCAACTGATGCTAACTGTGCTAATGTCCCAACAGCTGCAGGTTAGCATCCAGGAGTCTCTCTGAGCTGCAGACCCTACTCTACTCTTCTATCAGAACACTTTGGGGTCTCCACATGTCTCTCTGAGCTGCAGACCCTACTCTACTCTTCTATCAGAACACTTTGGGGTCTCCACATGTCTCTCTGAGCTGCAGACCCTACTCTACTCTTCTATCAGAACACTTTGGGGTCTCCCCATGTCTCTGAACTGCAGACCCTACTCTACTCTTCTATCAGAACACTTTGGGGTCTCCCCATGTCTCTGAACTGCAGACCCTACTCTACTCTTCTATCAGAACACTTTGGGGTCTCCCCATGTCTCTGAGCTGCAGACCCTACTCTACTCTTCTATCAGAACACTTTGGGGTCTCCACATGTCTCTGAACTGCAGACCCTACTCTACACTCCTATCAGAACACTTTGGGGTCTCCCCATGTCTCTGAGCTGCAGACCCTACTCTACACTCCTATCAGAACACTTTGAGGTCTCCACATGTCCGGGTTCACTAAGCTGCTAACTAGACTTTGAAGTAAATTGAGTTGGACCCAGCCTCCCCTGTGTGTCCTCCTCCTCCTCCTCCTCCTCCTCCTCCTCCTCCTCCTCCTCCTCCTCCTCCTCCTCCTCCTCCTCCTCCTCCTCCTCCTGCTGCAGTGTTACTTCAGCTCTGCACCTAGGTGGGAACAGTTCCTCTGGACCTTCTTTCTGTTTCTTTCCAGGTGTTTGATTTCAGCACGAAGGCTTTTTTTTTCTCGGAAGACGGGACGCTGCTGTGAGGAACCTTACGTGAAGGACGATAAGGAGGAAGCAAGCAGGATGGACTTACACACGTACTTTTGGATTCTCACCACCACTCTGATGTTGGTGCATCAACATCAAGGTATCTGTCTCTGATCAGAACGAGGGCTGAGGAGCGTGCTGCTGCCGCTTGGGCGTGCTACAATTCTCCTTTGAATTGCATTAAGTGTTAGTGAGGCAGAAAGACCATTAAGACGTGTTTACACTTAACTCTCTCTGTGAAACCTGAGCAGACATTAAGGTTCAAAGGTTCAAAGGCGTTATCCTCGTCTGCTCAGCAGCCACAGAGTAGAAATGGCACTGACATCCTTCTGACCTGAGCTCCTCCCACAGCGCAACATATATCATAAAATACTAAATAAAAAAGAGTGCAAGAAGTCGATAAACATGTAAATAGAATATGATGTGTACAAGAACAGAATATGAAATTAAATAACGTCCATTAAGACCAAATTAAATACGGTTTATTGCGGTGATAACTATTTATATAAATAAGCAAATTGCAAGATGACGAACATTATTAGCTCCATCTGATATTTGAAACCGTTGCTCTGGTTCTTGGTGGCTTGGTACTAATGAACAATAGTTCAACTGAAACATCAGAATGACTGGACCCCCATTAACCCCCTCCTCCCCATTGAACCATTGCATTTATTCCACATCTGCACGACGCATAACGGGCTCCTGGATATTAATAAAGCTGTCTTTGAAGAACACTTGTTGTCCACCAGGTACAGCTCTACGTGCTTTCACAACACACAGAGAAACAGAGAAGAAGAGACTCACTCAAGGTGTGATCATAACAATACAGTACCCTGATATCAAATAATGAATAATGATCCCTCGGTAAAATACAGAAAGACCTGAGACAACATTAATACATAAAACAAGTAAATAAATAATAATATTACAAAATAAATAAATTAAAAGATCAATTAAGTGGGAAGTCGCTGATATACAAATATGAGTAGAAGTACTCAGGTCTTGTACTTGAGTGAAAGTAGAAGTACTCAGATCTTGTACTTGAGTGAAAGTAGAAGTACTCAGATCTTGTACTTGAGTCTAAGTAGAAGTACTCAGGTCTGGTACTTCAGTAAAAGTAGAAGTACTCAGATCTTGTACTTGAGTGAAAGTAGAAGTACTCAGATCTTGTACTTGAGTAAAAGTAGAAGTACTCAGGTCTGGTACTTGAGTAAAAGTAGAAGTACTCAGATCTTGTTCTGGAGTAAAAGTAGAAGTACTCAGATCTTGTACTTGAGTGAAAGTAGAAGTACTCAGGTCTTGTACTTGAGTGAAAGTAGAAGTACTCAGGTCTTGTACTTGAGTAAAAGTAGAAGTACTCAGGTCTTGTACTTGAGTGAAAGTAGAAGTACTCAGATCTTGTACTTGAGTGAAAGTAGAAGTACTCAGATCTTGTACTTGAGTCTAAGTAGAAGTACTCAGGTCTGGTACTTCAGTAAAAGTAGAAGTACTCAGATCTTGTACTTGAGTGAAAGTAGAAGTACTCAGATCTTGTACTTGAGTAAAAGTAGAAGTACTCAGGTCTGGTACTTGAGTAAAAGTAGAAGTACTCAGATCTTGTTCTGGAGTAAAAGTAGAAGTACTCAGATCTTGTACTTGAGTGAAAGTAGAAGTACTCAGATCTTGTACTTGAGTAAAAGTAGAAGTACTCAGGTCTGGTACTTCAGTAAAAGTAGAAGTACTCAGATCTTGTTCTGGAGTAAAAGTAGAAGTACTCAGATCTTGTTCTTGAGTAAAAGTAGAAGTACTCAGATCTTGAGTAAAAGTAGAAGTACTCAGATCTTGAGTAAAAGTAGAAGTACTCAGATCTTGTTCTTGAGTAAAAGTAGAAGTACTCAGATCTTGTACTTGAGTAAAAGTAGAAGTACTCAGATCTTGTACTTGAGTAAAAGTAGAAGTACTCAGATCTTGTTCTTGAGTGAAAGTAGAAGTACTCAGATCTTGTTCTTGAGTAAAAGTAGAAGTACTCAGGTCTTGTTCTTGAGTAAAAGTAGAAGTACTCAGGTCTTGTTCTTGAGTGAAAGTAGAAGTACTCAGATCTTGTTCTTGAGTAAAAGTAGAAGTACTCAGATCTTGTTCTTGAGTAAAAGTAGAAGTACTCAGATATTGTTCTTGAGTAAAAGTAGAAGTACTCAGGTCTTGTTCTTGAGTAAAAGTAGAAGTACTCAGATCTTGTACTTGAGTAAAAGCAGAAGTACTCAGATCTTGTACTTGAGTAAAAGTAGTAGTACTCAGATCTTGTACTTGAGTAAAAGTAGAAGTACTCAGATCTTGTACTTGAGTAAAAGTAGAAGTACTCAGATCTTGTACTAAAGTAAAAGTAGAAGTACTCAGATCTTGTTCTTGAGTAAAAGTAGAAGTACTCAGATCTTGAGTAAAAGTAGAAGTACTCAGGTCTTGAGTAAAAGTAGAAGTACTCAGATCTTGAGTAAAAGTAGAAGTACTCAGGTCTTGAGTAAAAGTAGAAGTACTCAGGTCTTGAGTAAAAGTAGAAGTACTCAGGTCTTGAGTAAAAGTAGAAGTACTCAGGTCTTGAGTAAAAGTAGAAGTACTCAGGTCTTGAGTAAAAGTAGAAGTACTCAGGTCTTGTACCTAATCCTGATAGTAATCTCTGTTTCACAAACAGTAATCTGATTACTTGTTTCTTCAATGTAAATATAACTGATTAAATGATTATGTAATCTGTTCCATGTTGCTCTTGCTTCGTGTGTTCCTTAGATCCCAGTTCATTGAGTGGTTCTGTGTAATTGTAGCATACCAGTGCATCCAATTAAACCGGCTGAACACGCCTACGGGCTTCCCCCCGTGTTTAACGTCAAAACGCTATGAATTGTGGGTTATTGTGTGCTCAAAATGTCAGCGAGAGAGACCTGCAGCATGTGAAGATCGAGGGTCATCTAAGTCCTGCCAACACGTCAGTCTCGTTGCCAGCACCTGGACACGTTGAGACCCAGAGTGTTCTGATAGAAGAGTAGAGTAGGGTCTGCAGCTCAGAGACACGTTGAGACCCAGAGTGTTCTGATAGAAGAGTAGAGTAGGGTCTGCAGCTCAGAGACACGTTGAGACCCAGAGTGTTCTGATAGGAGTGTAGAGTAGGGTCTGCAGCTCAGAGACACGTTGAGACCCAGAGTGTTCTGATAGGAGAGTAGAGTAGGGTCTGCAGCTCAGAGAGACATGTGGAGACCCAGAGTGTTCTGATAGGAGAGTAGAGTAGGGTCTGCAGCTCAGAGACACGTTGAGACCCAGAGTGTTCTGATAGGAGTGTAGAGTAGGGTCTGCAGCTCAGAGACACGTTGAGACCCAGAGTGTTCTGATAGAAGAGTAGAGTAGGGTCTGCAGCTCAGAGACATGGGGAGACCCCAAAGTGTTTTGATAGAAGAGTAGAGTAGGGTCTGCAGCTCAGAGACACGTTGAGACCCAGAGTGTTCTGATAGGAGAGTAGAGTAGGGTCTGCAGCTCAGAGACACGTTGAGACCCAGAGTGTTCTGATAGGAGTGTAGAGTAGGGTCTGCAGCTCAGAGACACGTTGAGACCCAAAGTGTTCTGATAGGAGTGTAGAGTAGGGTCTGCAGCTCAGAGACATGTGGAGAGCCCAAAGTGTTCTGATAGGAGAGTAGAGTAGGGTCTGCAACTCAGAGAGACATGTGGAGACCCCAAAGTGTTCTGATAGGAGAGTAGAGTAGGGTCTGCAGCTCAGAGACACGTTGAGACCCAGAGTGTTCTGATAGAAGAGTAGAGTAGGGTCTGCAGCTCAGAGACACGTTGAGACCCAGAGTGTTCTGATAGGAGTGTAGAGTAGGGTCTGCAGCTCAGAGACACGTTGAGACCCAGAGTGTTCTGATAGGAGAGTAGAGTAGGGTCTGCAGCTCAGAGACACGTTGAGACCCAGAGTGTTCTGATAGGAGAGTAGAGTAGGGTCTGCAGCTCAGAGACACGTTGAGACCCAAAGTGTTCTGATAGAAGTGTAGAGTAGGGTCTGCAGCTCAGAGACATGTGGAGAGCCCAAAGTGTTCTGATAGGAGAGTAGAGTAGGGTCTGCAGCTCAGAGAGACATGTGGAGACCCCAAAGTGTTCTGATAGGAGAGTAGAGTAGGGTCTGCAGCTCAGAGACACGTTGAGACCCAAAGTGTTCTGATAGAAGTGTAGAGTAGGGTCTGCAGCTCAGAGACATGTGGAGACCCAGAGTGTTCTGATAGAAGAGTAGAGTAGGGTCTGCAGCTCAGAGACATGTGGAGACCCCAAAGTGTTCTGATAGGAGAGTAGAGTAGGGTCTGCAGCTCAGAGACATGTGGAGACCCCAAAGTGTTCTGATAGGAGAGTAGAGTAGGGTCTGCAGCTCAGAGACATGTGGAGACCCCAAAGTGTTCTTATAGGAGAGTAGAGTAGGGTCTGCAGCTCAGAGAGACATGTGGAGACCCCAAAGTGTTCTGATAGGAGAGTAGAGTAGGGTCTGCAGCTCAGAGACATGTGGAGACCCCAAAGTGTTCTGATAGGAGAGTAGAGTAGGGTCTGCAGTTCAGAGACATGTGGAGACCCCAAAGTGTTCTGATAGGAGAGTAGAGTAGGGTCTGCAGTTCAGAGACATGTGGAGACCCCAAAGTGTTCTGATAGGAGAGTAGAGTAGGGTCTGCAGCTCAGAGACATGTGGAGACCCCAAAGTGTTCTGATAGGAGTGTAGAGTAGGGTCTGCAGCTCAGAGAGACATGTGGAGACCCAGAGTGTTCTGATAGGAGTGTAGAGTAGGGTCTGCAGCTCAGAGAGACATGTGGAGACCCCAAAGTGTTCTGATAGGAGTGTAGAGTAGGGTCTGCAGCTCAGAGAGACATGTGGAGACCCAAAGTGTTCTGATAGAAGTGTAGAGTAGGGTCTGCAGCTCAGAGAGACTGCTGGATGCTAACCTGCAGATGTTGGGACACAGTTAGTATACGTTGAGTTAATTAGCATTGATCATATAGCTCTGGAGTGGTTTTGTGGGTTATTGAGGATGCTGAGTCCATGTCAGTTGGAACCAGAAGGAGGACATTTCTCTCTGTGGCTGATTTAGATTACCATAGAGAGCAC